TTCTTGCAGAAGTCAACGTTAAGGACTAATGAGAAACAAACTTAGTAGGCTAGATTGCTGCCAGAGTTTGTTTGCATTGCTGCCAAGGTTTGTAGGACTTGCTGCCAAAGTGCTTAACTCTTTGGTGATTTGGCTGTCAGCCACCGAGAGTCTGGACTTATTAAAAACATTCTCATTTACGTTTGTCTCGGCTTTCGTTCCTGGACGGAGGAGGGGGGTCAGAACAGGAAGCTAAGGAGAAATAGAAACTAAGTCTAGTGTTTAATCCAACATGGTGATTTTCTACATTCAAGATACTTTTATTTTTGGAGAACCTTGTAATAGATCAGGGAGTATATGATTTATTATGGAGTTAGATCTGCTTTTTCTACTTGGCCATCAGGTGTGTGGGCTATTCGTCATTTCCTAAGCACAGAAACCAATGAGATCACCTACTTACTATTTGCAGCCAAAGGTGAATGCACCTCATGCCACAAGAACTTTGGGTGAGAATGACCATGTCATATTAGAATTCAGTATAATGCAGACATAAGCAATAGAACATAATCAAGCCAGTGTTAAAAGAGCTGATTTCAACAAACTTAGGGAGAGCTTGGAAAGGTTTCCATGGATGAAAATCTTAAAGGGGGCAAACAACTCAAGAAGCTTGGGAAACTATGAAAAGATATGATTATAAAAGCCCAGTCCAGCATAATAGCACTGAAAAAGAAATATAAGAAATCCAAGGAGAAACCAGAATGGTTGCATAAAGAGCTCTCTAATAAACTGAAAGGCCAAAAGAATAAGTATGAAAAAAAATAGAACGAGAGGCACATAATTAAAGCAGATTCTGCAAAGATGAAGTCAGGAAAGCTAAGGCACAGAATGAAATAAGACCGGCAACAAACGTCAAAAATAATTTTTAAAAAGGTTTCTTTCAACACATAAAAAATAAAATAAAAGCAGAAGCAGCAATTGGTCCGCTAATGGGAGAAGATAGCATGGAAAGTGATGGGCAGCAGGGAAAAAAGCAGAGCTGCTTAATTCTTTCCTTGCCTCTTCACACAAAAAGGGGAAAAAAATAGTCCAACCTGCCAAAAACAGAACCACGAAAGACAAGAGTAGGAATTCAAACTATAAAAAGCAAGAAAATGGTAAGAGAACATGAGTTCAAATCATCTGACCGATGGATCACAACAAAGAATTATGAAAGAACTGGCAGGCGTGATCTTGGAACCATTTGTATCATATAGCAATAGCAATAGCAGTAGACTTATATACCGCTTCATAGGCCTTTCAGGCCTCTCTAAGCGGTTTTACAGAGAGTCAGCATATTGCCCCCAACAATATAAATATAAACTGTAAATATAAATTGTAACTGTTGTCAAACATCCAAATTTTGATCACGTGACCATGAGAATGCTGCAAC